AAATCCATTCCTATCAGTAACAATTAATGCTAAACAGCGAAGAGACAGCCTAGGAGAACAGATGTAGAGACAAAGAACAGGTGCAAAACATCATCTTCGGGCTCTGCCTGTTAGTCTCAAGAGGTTTCCAGTTAGCCAGTTTTCGAAAGAGGTTGTAGGACGAGATGGTCTAATTTAGCAAGGAAGTTCTTTTAATGCTTCTGTGTACATCAGACAGTACAGCTGAATCAAAAAGATGCCTAGAAAGGCTTCAGTTAGAGACTTTAGAGCACCGATAGATCTTTGCAGCCAGCCAAGGCTGGAAGAATGGAAAATAAGGTAGGTCAGAATATGAGAGGTTTAAAAAATGGTACACTGCAGCAGAGAATCTGAAGCTTTAAGTTATGGCATACGAAAAGGCAGAAGATCTGTGAATTAGGATATCCATCTTGCCAGATTGTTTCCAGGGCTGCCATATTAAAATAAATAAATAAATCATCCAGCCCAAGATGCATTCTCACTCCTATCTCATAAGTATGCCTCTAAGGAACCTTGCTTATATGATCTGCCCCTCTTCGGTACCCCCGTAACACAAAGCACTTGCCTCATGGCCCTTGCTTCGAGCATGGAAAAGGGGGGATTATTGTGATGTAAGGGGCAATGAACTGGTGAAGGAGGAATAAAACCTTTATGATTCCTACCAGCCACCTGAAGAGCCCTGGTCTGATGATTTCTGGAAGGGGACTTTAACAAGAGACACAAGGCCAAGTCAACCATCAGTGGCTGCGCGCGTTCAGAATCGAGTATCAGGGAGAGAGATCCCACTCTATCTGCAGAACCAACAGGCGCACTGAATCCTAATGCTGCTGCATTGACACCCCCCCACCCCCTCCCCACTGCCAATTTTTAAAGAAGAAAGCCATCGTAATAGAAATCAAATGCTTTTTTACCCTGCATCTCCTTCTTTTGCCGCAGGCTGGTGGGGAAGAATGACTCAATCTCCCCAACATATTCAGGACCCATCTTTAGCCCCTTCCCTCAGTTTGCACAGTTCTCTATTCCCCAAGAACTCCTGCTCTTGTGTTGAGACCTGTAAGCATAGATCAACTAACCTCTCTCTCTCATTTTCCGACACACAGAGATGTGTGCAGATATATGTTCTGTGTTCGTGTTCAGAATACTGAAGCTTCGGTAGAGTAACACTCCCTCTGTTCAGCAGTTCGCCCATTTATAAATGCAATGGTTTCCCTCTCCTTTGCTTGAAAATAGTAGATTTCTGCAAACCAACTGAGACCTAAGGCTGCAAGGAACCAACCCACGTAAGAACACTGGATTACTAAGGTGTGGGGTAGAGAAGATGGCAACTAGCCTAGAAACAGAGAGACAGCAAAGCAGCTTCATCTCATTTTCATCCTAAGAGATTGGAATCCAGGACGAGCCCTGGGAATTGCTGGGTGTGTGATAAACGACAGGCAGAAAATGAACGTGGGGGAGAGATAAACAGAAGACGCAGAGGTGGGTGGGTGTACAATCCAAGGAAGCAGAGCAGGAAAAAGGGATCTGATGCTACAGAAGGGAAGCAGGTGAGAAGAAGATCCAGCCTGAGCAAAAAGGCAAAAGCAGAGAAGCAGGGGCTGGCCCCGGGAAGGCAGAGAGCCCTACGGGTTAGCGCCAAGCCCAATTTCTCCCGCCCGCTCTCAGCATCCCCGGGGAACGGATAGGATGGATTAGAAGGCAGGAGAACAGCTGCGCTCCAGCTCTGGCCAGATGGGAGAGGCGCGGAAGGGGCTCAAAGAGCCTCCCACCCACCCAGCCCAGCTCAGCCCAGCCCAGCCCTGCCCTCTCCTTGGGCAGCCCTGGCGCCTCGACCCACTCACCTTTGTTGCCGAGGGCGCAGGAGAGGAGGAGGAAGAGGAGAGGGGCGGAGGCGAGGGGCATCCCCCAGCCCATTTTAGAAAAGCCTTGAAAATGCCACTCGCTGGACGGGATAGGCTTAGTCTCGCTCGCCGGAGGAGAGTTCCCGGACGGCTGCCTCTACGATCTGCTCGCACCCAGCCCCAGGGGTCGGCTGTCGAGGCACTGCCCGGGACGGGGCGCCAGCTGGAGCTCCCGGACGCCTCCTTTCTCCGGTCCGGCCCAGCCCCTGTACTGCAGCATGATGTCAGCAGCGCCCGACGCTGTTTGATGGGCCCTCGCAGCCAATACGAGGGGCGCCCAAGCCAGGTGCTGCAGGAGAGGGAGGGGACCGAGATTTAGGGGTAGGGGTGGGGGCGTGGGAAGGCCAGAAAAGG